GTGGTACTCTAACTTCTCTCTGCCAAGGACCTTGGTCAGCATGTCGGCGTGCTGCTCTCCAGTCGGAACATACTCTGCAGTGATCTTGCCCGACTTGAACAGCTCGCGAATGAAATGGAACCGCACGTCGATGTGCTTGCTCCTCGCTGAGCTGAACAGGTGCTCGATTAAGGCGAGAGCCCCCTTGTTGTCCTCAAGGACCTTGATCTTCGCCTCACTCGTCTCGGGCGCTATGAACGCCAGAACGCCAGGCACAAACAACGCCTCCTTCACGCCCTCCCCGGCTGCCATATACTCTGCTTTGCCACTAAGATGTCATCAACGTAGATCACGATGAGACCTACGACCTCTCTATCCACCACCTTCCCGAAGACACAGGTCAACCCTGCACTGCTCGTATCCATTCTCGATGAGGGCATCGGCAGCTTCAAACCCCCACTCATGGCCACTCTGCTTTAGGCCATACAGGGCACGCTCAACCTTGACCACCTTGCCGGACATGCTACCCGCAGCCTTCCGGGAACCTGACGTATATTTCTTCTTTTAGCTTAGCGTGGATGTACGCTTGCTTCACATCCCAGTGAGCGAGGTTCTTGCCCTTTTCAGTGGCTACGGCAATCACCATCTTGATAGACCCTGCAGACGGGCACGCTGAGGATGAGTGGTAGAAGTCGATGCCTGAGATTTGAGGGAAACCCCGCGCAACCATACGGGCCTTGAAGTCGACTACCAGGCCCTTCTCATTCGTCTTCCAAGAGAACACCCACTCTGAACCTATGGCCTTCCGCCCCTCGGGCAGCTCCTTGACCTTGATAAAGGTTCCAGTCTTGCCGTAGCATCTATCTCTTTCCTCACGGCCGCCTCCCAGAAAATCTTGTACTTGGAACACATCACATCCTTGTACGTCATCGGTACTGCTTCCACATCACTCGGCCTCTGCCCGATTGGCGAGGTAATACTTAGCTGTGGGTCTGGGAGTGGTTGCGAGGACCCGCTGGCGTCGACCTCGGCCCCGAACGCCTGCCGTTCCGGGCCCAACACCTCCTGCATCTCCCGCCTGTACATCTCCTCCATACGGCGTGGCTGCTTCTCGTCCCACTGCTCCTTCACAAGCGAGTTGCAGATGAAGTACTCAACAATCCCCGTCCCGCCAGTTTCCAGGATGGTCACCAGCAGTGCCTCTTCCGGGTCCGGTGTTTCTCCGGGCCCCGGCATCTCCCCGGCACCTTGCATCTCCCGGGTCTGCTTCAGCGTGCGGCCACTTTCAAGCCCATGGCGCAGCGGGCCAGCGTTCGAGGCGCCCCAGAGGAGTTTCTTCCCTTCTAGCCCGCGGGGGTAGCGGTCGTCGGCTGGATCATACTTCAACTCCTCGAGGTTCTCGAAGTCGCCGGGATCACCATCGCTACCGCCGTCCCCACTTGGGTTGCCGGACTCTTCGCCGCACGGGCCGCCGGCACCGCCGGCGTCACTGCTCCTGCTGCTGCTCGGGCTGCTGCTGCTGCTGTTGCTCGGGCTGCTGCTGCTGCTGCTGCTGCTGCTGCTGCTGCTGCTGCTGCTGCTGCTGCTGCTGCTGCTGCTGCTGCTGCTGCTGCTG